AAAACACCAATACTAAACGTGTGCGAGCCCTCAGTGATCAAAAGTATCCTGGTTAAAGATTTTCACCTATTTTCCGACCGCTACCACATCCGGGACGCCTCCGACCAGATCGCCAGCAAAACCCTGTTTCACATGAATGGCGACGCGTGGCGTAGGGTTAGGGCGATCACGTCGCCCACGTTCTCGTCGGGCAAAATGCGCAAAATGTACCCGCTCATCAGGGAGGGCCTGGCCGACATGCTTACCCAGCTGGATATCTATGCTACGAGTGGCAAGGTATGTTTTGAAATTTATTTTTAAAAAAATCTATCATGGTTAAAAATAATTATCTACATTGACTAAATTTAATTAATACCCTAATAATAATTAATTACTGGAAAATGTGTATGGTCACACTAGGTATGCGACGTAAAGGACATGTACGAGAACTACACCATGGACGTAATAGCTACCTGTGCGTTTGCCACGAAAACCAACGTGTACAAATCTCAGGACCTGAATCCGTTTGTCGTGAACGCCCGGAAAGCCTTCAACGGCATACATGTGGCCGACTTTGCGACGCTTATACCGGCGTTTGTCAAACGGCTACTTAGGGTGACCATCACCGGTAAGATTGGATTTTTCTTTGAAACCACGAGACATATATTGGCCACCAGGAGGGCCCACCCGAGCGACAAGCATAACGACTTTATTCAACTGATGATGGAGGCCATGTTGACCGATAAAGTGACCAGGGACGCACAGGACACTAATGAGGCGCACTATGTCAATGAGGGTTAGTATATTATCTATACAGTTTAATTTTAAAACAAGTATTACTAGTAATAATCAATAAATTGTTATTAATTTCTAAGCACTTTTAAAAAACTACCAGTGAATCTAATTTTAATTAAATTTAATGACAATACCTATATTAAGATGATCTTTATAATTTAATATTTAATAAATGTTCTTTTATTTATGTCCCGGTGCAGTATAAACGTATGCTACGTATAGGTGCCCCTAAGCGTATGAATGTACGTGTTGAGAAACGTGCGTAATCTAAAACAACGATATTTGGCAAAGATCATTTATGGTAATTGCCTATTGTTACAGTATAATCAAGTTATAAATTGTGATTATTGTTAAATAATCCCTTGATATTTAATTTCAATTATAGTAGCACACTAGTTTATATCGAAAAATATTATATTTATATAGGGTCATACACAAAAAACGGTTTGTCGGAAACTTGAATTGCTCGCTAACTACAAGTCCGAGACTGAAACAGTAAAAAGTATTATTAAGTTCTATTTAATGCAGAACTTTTACACTTAAAATAAATTTTATCAAAATGTACAGTAATTGAAATAACGGAATGTTTGCAAAGGTCATATGTACAGGTCAGGGTAGAGGTCATGGGTCAATATGGTTAAGTGAGTTTGAAAGCTCAATAGTAGAGCTTTCATTTAAGCCATATGTGGAAAAAATCTAATTGCTAATAATGGCTGTGCGATACAAAATGTAA